CAGAGCAAGGGTGCTGTCCAAGAGTTTATGAGAAAACACTCATGGGCTTCTGCTAAACGTGAGAGCCACAAGCCACTAACCTTCTAACATTCACCCACAGACACTCATTTTTCCCCACATGTTTTAAGAGCAAATGAAAACATAATGAATTTGAAACCAGACTCCATCAGCTCCATCCAGAGACCAAAATCAATGTGATATATGATTTCTCTGCAATCTGTGCAGCCCACAAATGATCCTTTCCCATCCTACTTCTAAGGTTCTTCCTACCTATATATACTTATTAGGGATAAGTCATTTATAAATTCATTCATTCAACAAACATTTACTAAAACCTACTATGAGGAAAACACTCAGTTCAATGCCAGGAATACATAAATGTAAAAGGCAGAGTCTCAGTTTTCAAAGAATTTAATTTTATTTGTATATGTTTGGGTGATAAAAGGAAAAGATGACTTTGATTGTCCCAGGAAAGGTTGCCCAGAACAGTTCCTGCTCATAAATTCCGCCAGGTGAAAATATTAAATAGTTATTAAGGAAGCAACACTATGTACAATTTTTGAAACATAGAGTGTCATCTTCCTTGTTGTTTTTTGCAAACCCACCTGTGGTTTTTATTACTATTCTAGCATGGGAACTGAGCTTTCCTGGACAAGAGAAGGATTGTCTATCAAGTAAAGAAGATAAAACAGGGTGAGAAATAAGGAGTAGGAGACTGTGAATAGGAAGATGGGAAAGGAGAGTGAGGAGAAAGGAAAGAAGAAGACAGCACTAGACAGTAACTCTGAACTAAATTTCAGAAAGGAGAAACTTAGTTTTCTATAAGGCTGGGTGGAGACTACTCCCCTGCCTCTCTGTAGATGCCAAAGTTTGACAGAGACATTGAGGATACTCCAGACTTCTGATTTCATTTATCCACTCTACTTATATCTATTGTTCTTCAGTGCCCCTGAAAATTACACTAAAGGAAGTTTTTAAAAGAATTAAAAAATATTACTGGATACTTTTCATCCAGCATTTATTCTCCCCATTTCAACAGCCACAGCTCTGCTGTGATAAATTTGGCTCTTACTCAAACTTAATAACCCCCAAACCTAGGCCAAGCCAACCACTTCCCAGATAACACCCACATAAGGTCCTGCTGGAATAAGACTCCTACTTTGAACCAAACATCTTACTCCAACTCCCAGCCCTATCTCTCCTGATAACCACCCAAGGCTCAATTTTAAAATTTAATACACACATAAAGCCATCCAAACCACTCAATCCTAATCACAACATCAAGCCAAACCACAGACTTCACTTTACCATAACTCCCAGGTCTACCCAACTCCTCCCTCAGCTCCATTCAATGAAAAATACTATTCTCCTCCAGACTACATTAAAACATTAGGTGAGTCCAGTTTTATAAATAGATTTGTTCCCCCATCTCTTCTTATTTTCCCAATTTTACTCTAAGGTTCTATACCATCCCCACCACAACTCACTCTCCAAATTCCAAATTACTGTTGAATTCTCCTATAGTTCTCATGCCTGATACATGAGTCCAGCTTCCATCCAATAATAGCACTTCTGAAAATGCTTCATGCTTCAACATTTCACAACACTCCACTAACCTCTTAAGTTTGTCTTGGCAGAGCAGAAACAAGGGAGATGTTAACATGAAATGGAGCTTGGAGTAAACATCCCACAACCTACCTGAGATGAGAAAAGGCTTTAGGCAGTGCCTACTGTATGTAGTTATCTCAGAGGTCACCAAGATACCAATAGCACATGTAAGACCCCAGAACTTTTGAGAGAGGCCTGAATTACCTGAAGTCTTATGAACCAGGATCAGAAGGATGGAAATGGTCATTAAATAGGGCTTCATGACTGACATGTCCTGAGAGAATGGAGGGCTGGGTAGCAGGGGACTGAATGGAGATCATTGCAGCAGAGCAGTGTCCTGCTTTAATTCGTTTTGGAAACGGGCCAGGGTTGTGTGCAGTGAACTAAAAGGGATGAGACATCCCTGGGCTCAGCCAGGCAGAGGGATAATATGTATCCCATATCCCAGCGGGCACTCTACGTGTGGGAGAAGTGCCAGCAGCACCCTGTCTAGGTGGGCCTTCTTCCCAGGAAGAAGCAGACTAGAGCCAGTTGAATGAATAGATCAACTGATCCATCAATCAATCAAACCAACAATGAGAAGACTAATGCATAATTTAAGAAATCAGAAATCTTTTAAAACAGATCTGTCTTTATCCTCCTGACAGTAATCCTGTACTAAACATCAGGAACTAACAAAAAAAGGGGGGGGGGGAAGAAAAGAAAAAGACAATGATGAAAGAAAAGATGGGAAGGAGAAAAATTAAAGAGGAAGGTATAACTGGAGGAAGAGAGGGAAAGACATGGAGGTAAAAATAATGGCAATTCGTAGTTACCATGACTCTACCATGTGTCTGTTTCTGTACTAAATGCTATGGGGTGGATATGAACACTTACTACAACACTGTGAAGTTGGGTGGTATTTCCTACTTCACAGATAAGGATGAGAAAGTTTGAAGAGATGTTCATAACATTCTTATGCCACACATCTAATAAGGCATAGGGACAAGAATTCAGTATTCATCCCTTAAGAAATAGGAATAACATGATTTTGTAGAGGACACCACAATGACTTTTTCTTTAGTGAATTAATGTGGAAGATGGGTGGCTGGTGTCCAGTCCTCCAAATGAAAGTGAGTGAGTAAAAAGACTCTTTGGAAAATCTAGGCTAGGATTTCCACATCTCATCATAGCAAGGCAAATGGAACTAGACTGAAAAGTATATTTCTAACTAATATTTAAATGTACATCATTATTCTTTCTATGTTATGTTATTTTTTAAGACAGAAAAACCATTTAAAATGTGTGATATGGATATATATATATATATATATATATATATATAGTAAAAGTTAATGTTAAAAATTAGCTCTTATTGTGCTTTATGTTTTTCTCTCTCATAGGTAAAGTGATGATAGAAGACAACCAGTTCATTGCTCCCATAGTTTCCAATCATACAAGCACATGGACAAAACCAACAGGTATGGATCCTTCAGCCTACATGTGATAGAGTTTCCAAGAAAATGAAAAGGAAGTGATTCAGATTCATCTCAGTAAATGAATTTGTTCCTTTAACCCCATTAAATCTTTTATTCTGGCACTTTTCAGTCGAACTCTGAAGGTTATTAGGTATCCAAGAGGATCAAGTGGAGTCAGGTTGGAGACTGGGAAGTCTAAGACAGAGGTACCAGCATGGCCTGTTTTGGGTAGGAGCTTACTTCTAGCTTGTTGACTGTGGGAAGTGAGAAAGGAGGTTGATTTGAAAATTATTAGCATGATTGGATGAGAAAATTGTTCTTCCCCGTAAGTTATATAGTAAATTGTTGAATATTATAGTTTATATAGAAACTAGAAGCAAACATATTTAAAATATCTGATCCCTATATTGATTTATATATTAACCTATACTACTATACTTATTGTTAAATATTTGCAGAATCACACCTTGGTACATATCTTGCTAATACTTGCAGTACAATGAAAAGAGGAGACATATGTATTCATATACAAATACATTTATGTATGTAAAATGTGTGTGCTTGAGGAACAATACTCATGAGGCAAGACTCTATCTTTCCTCTTCATTCTCAAGTTTGACTTAGCTAATCATGAATCTTTACTATTTTAATCAAATCTTAAGAAAAATGTGTTGAGTTTACCTGGGAAAACTAACTTGGAATTTGCATTAGGAATGTATTAAAATCATAGATTTATTTGGGAGAGATGGATGGTTTACATCATCTTATCCTGGAGCATGAATATCTCATCTTCTCTGTCCTTTGTCAGTATGTTCAAGTTTTCCCTGTAGAAGTCATATATGTAGGACCAAAATATGTATTGATAGATCTTGCTGCTAATGAAAATTATATCTTATTTTACATTGTATTTTCCACTTAATCATTGGTAACATAGAGAAATGCTATGATTCTTTAAATTGATCTTATATCCAGAAAACCTTTGGAACTTTCTTTTAAATTTTATTTGTTTGTCCTTTTTTAAAAAATATTATTTTTATTGTTGAGAGTATTACAGATGTCCCCAATTTTTCCTCCTTTGCCCCCTCCACACAGCTCCCACCCCATGCCAGGCCTTCACCTCACTATTATCTATGTCGATAGGCTATGCATCTATGCACATAAATTCTTTGGTTAATCTCTTCCCTGCTCTGCCCTCTCCCTTCCCTCTGAGATCTGTCAGTCTGTTCCATGCTTCCATGTCTATGGACTTATTCTTTAGTGAGTTTATTTTGGATTCCACATATTGATAAGATTACATAATTATTTCCTTTCTCTGACTGGCTTACTTTGCTTAGCATAAAAATCTCCAGGTCCCTCCATGCTGTCTTAAAAGGTAAGAGATCCTTCTTTTTACAACTGCATAGTATTCCATGCTATAGCTGTACCACAGCTTCTTTATCCACTCATCTGCTGATGGACACTTGGGCTGTTTCCAGATCTTAGCTATTATAAATAATGTTTCTATGAACACAGGGGTGCATATATTCTTTCTGACTGATGTTTTGGGTTTCTTAGGATATATTCCCAGAAGTGGGATCACTGGGTCAAAAGGCAGTTCCATTTTCAGTTTTTTGAGGAAACTCCATACTGTTCTCCACAGTGGTTTGATGATTTATTGATAGCCACTTTGGCAGGTGTGAGATATTAGTTTGTACTTTGGTTGATTCTTCATGTAAGTGACTGCATTATCTGTAAGCAATGACATTGTATCTCCACCTTTTCAGTCTTTACGCTTAATTCTTATTTTTCCTAATAGCATGGGCCAGGACCTCCGTTGTTACAATAAACATTTGAATCCTTGTTTTCCTTGTAATTTAAAAGGAAAAGCATCTAAAGTTCCTTGAAAATATATAACACTTGCCCTAAGAGTTTGGCATTTAATATTTAGCTTGTTTAGTGCTCGCTTCGGCAGCATATATACTAAAACTGGAACAATATAGAGAAGATTAGCATGGGCCCTGCACAAGGATGATGCAAAAAAATCATGAGGCATTCCATATTTAAAAATAAAATAAAATAAAATAAAATAAACAAAAAATATTTTTAACTTGTTTAGTAAGTTCTCTTCTATATTTAATTTCTTAAAATATTCTACTATAATTGTTTTTTTGAAATTTATAAAATATTTTCTCTTAATCAATTAAGATAATTGTGTAATCCCTTTTTCTATTAAAGTAGAGAATTGTATTGTTCCTGATATTATATCATTACATTTTTAGATATATCTTAAATGATTACAGTATAGTTTTAATACATTATTAAATTTAGTTATTTACAATTTAATATGGAATTTTGGCACATTCATGCAGAAGAGATATGGCTTATAGGTTTCTGTCCTTTATTGTTCATATCTGTTTTTGAAGTCAAAATAATATTAACCTCCTAAAATCATCTAGGTAGCTTTTACATTTCTCTTTCTTCTGAAACAACTTGTAGACAGGAATTAACTGTTCCCTCAAAGTTTTCAACCTCTGCCCTGGACCAAAGGGTCCGGGGTTCCATTCTGGTCAAGGCACATACCTTGGTTACAGGCTCCTCCCCCAACCCGGGCCCTGGTAGGGGCTTGTGCAGGAGGCAACCAGTCGTTGTGTTTCTCTCACATTGATGTTTATCTCTGTCTTTCTCTCTTCCACTCTCCCTAAAAGAAAGTGTTAAATTGTCTCTGGTAAGGATTAACAACAAAAAGTGTTTGCAACATCTGATGTGTCCGTAAATTCATCTGTAATGAATGTAAACAGGACACATTCGAGAACAAAGAAGAGCGTTATTAATAATTATGTGGTGGCAAAGAGGGAGAACAAGGGCTATTCTTAGCAGATCAAACTAGAACTCAATGTTAATACTTTGTGAGTGTGGGACTTAGTGGGAGGCGGGCAGGTGCTCATTTCCATTCCATGTCTTCATGCTTCACAGATCTCCTTAGGTTTGGATTTCTTCCAGTGCTACTCTTGATGGATGGTTTGCTTTGAAGTATTTTTTATATTTATTGTGCATATTTGCTCATCATAGAGCAGGTATTCTGTAAAGTGCACATGGTCAAACACTGTATGTGATTTTATACCCCTTCAGCCTCTGTCATTCTAGCGTACACTGACTTGTCCTGTGGGGATATGTTGAAGACATTTGACCAGCTATTCTTACGGAGGTCCCCTTTCTGTTCTGTCTGCTTTTCTGTAGCTTGTTACCAATATACCATGTAAATAGGAGGTTAGTTGTAATGATTTTATTGATTCAGGTTATTATTTTTAACAAGATTGCATCAGAGGTGATGCTGTGTTGCCTATATTGCAACCCATCAGGACTCACTTAACATGTGGCTATCCCTTACTTCAGATAACTTATAACCGAATTAAAGTGATGACTGCCTGATCTTTCTATTGAACAGTGCTGGTTTTCCCCTTCTATATTCAAAGTAATCTGCATGGTGCAACTTTGCCTATACAAACGTCTGGTACCATGACAATCATTCACTTAGTGGTTTTAACCCAAATTATAGTCCTTGCCTGAGACAATAGATTCTTTAGGAGTTGTAGGATACAATTCAGTAAAATAAAACTTTCCCTTATCACTAGAGATACTTGGTTACTGTAAACACAACTCCTACTGGAGAGGCAGGATAAATATTTAATTTATTCAAATTAGTGACTGGTTATCAAAGGAAACAATTTGCTTAGTGGGTGCCTCAAAAAGTGACACAGGAGTTTTTCTGGTTATCCCATCTCTAGATATTATTAGATAATCATGTCTTTCCTCTGCTTCAATGTATTTCAATCTGTCATATTTAACTTTATTTCAATGTTCAAATTCTCATAATTTTAGCATATATACATTTTTTCTAGCTGGATCCTGTTCTTTTTACATGACCCCAATACTTTTTTATATCTTGAAATAAAATTATAAATATTTATTAGTGTCTAAATTATAACTTTAAGAAGCTGATCTGATAACTAGTGCAGTTTTAAAACAGGAGTAAGGCCCGTCCCATCTGTAACTGCGAAATGCGACAACAAAATAGATCACAAACGAAAGAAATGGAGGACAAAAAGCGACTGGATATAGAGTTCAAATCTACGCTTATAAGGTTTTTCAAGAATTTCCTAGAAAAGATGGATAAGGCCTATGAGGATATGAAAAGAGATAAACTATTAATAGAATTAATAAGGAGTCAACAAGAAATGATAAGGGATCAACAAGAAATAAAGAATACATTGTCTGAAATAAAAAATATTTTACAGAGTCCTAAAAACAGAAGGGAAGATCGCAAGAATCAAGTCAAAGATTTGGAACATAAAGAGCCAGAAGACACTCCTCCACAGAAGCTAGAAGGCAAGAGAATCCAGAAAATTAAAGATAATGTAAGAAACCTCTGGGACAACTTTAAGCGGACCAACATCAGAATTATGGGGGTCCCAGAAGATGAGAGAGAGCAAGATATCGAAAACATACTGAAAGAAATAGTGATAGAAAACTTCCCCCACCTGGTGAAAGAATTAGACTTACAAGTCCAGGAAGCGCACAGAACTCCAAACAAAAGGAATCCAAAGAGGACCACACCGAGACACATCATTATTAAAATTCCAAGAGCAAAAGACAAAGAGAGAATATTAAAAGAAGCAAGAGCAAAGAAGGTAGTAACCTATAAAGGAGCACCTATACGATTGTCAGCTGACTTCTCAACAGAAACCATGCAGGCCAGAAGGGAATGGCAAGAAATATTCAAGGTGATGAATAGCAAGAACCTACAGCCAAAAATAATCTACCCAGCAAAGCTATCACTCAGAATCGAAGGCCAGATAAAGAGCTTCACTAATAAAAAAAAGCTAAAGGAGTTCATCACCACCAAACCAGAATTATATGAATTGCTGAAGGGGGTTCTTTCAGAAGAGAAAGTAAACAAAGATAAAAATTATGAACAACAAATACGTAACTATCAACAAGTGAATCTAAAAACCAAGGAAATTAAAAAAAATCTGATGAACAATATTAACTGTTGAATATAATAGAATCAGAGGTATGGAAGGGAGTGAACTGACGATTCTTGGGGAAAAGGGGAGAGGGGGGCGTAGGAAGAGACTAAACATAAACTGTGCACCTATGGATGAGGACAATGGGGAGAGGAGAAAGGGCAGAGGGTGGGGTAGGAACCTGGTGGAGGAGAGCAATGGTGGGGGGGGGGGAAAAGGAACATTTGTAAAAATATGAACAATAAAAACTTATTAAAAAATGATAATAAAAATAAAAATAAATAAAACAGGAGTAAGTATAAACGATATCTTAAGATATATTCAAAAATCTTTAATATGATACAAAATTATTTTTATTTCTATTGTGATAAAGTCAAAAGAATAGACAGTATTAATGAATGTGTTGCCCACATTCATAAATTAAGGAAAGCTTACATTTCAATTAGAGATTAAGGATAACAAAGACATTATTTCTCCATTTCTGTACATAATCCTCAATTTATGAGCATGGACTGGTGGGAAAAGCTTTGATCTCAGAGTGAAAAAAACCTGATTTGAGCCAGGACCAGTTTGGCTCAGTGGATAGAGCGTCGGACTGTGGACTGAAAGGTCCCAGGTTTGATTCCGGTCAAGGGCATGTACCTTGGTTGCGGGCACATCCCCAGTGGGGGGTGTGCAAGAGGCAGCTGATTGATGATTCTCTCTCATCGATGTTTCTAACTCTCTATCCCTCTCTCTTCCTCTCTATGAAAAATCAATAAAATATATTTTTTTAAAAACACCTGATTTGGCAATCTCATGCTGCCTCCTTCTTCCCCCCCCCCCACCAGTTTTATTGAGACACAATTAAAATGCAATACTGTATTAGTTTAAGGTGTACAACATAGTGATTACACACACACACACACACACACACACACACACACACACACCACAATAAGTTTAGTTAACATCCATCACCTGACAGCAGAGCAGGGCCTGAGGCCTTGACCAACCCCAAAGCGCAGACTGCATCCCCACAGAACATGGATTCCAACCAGAGGCACCATTCAGCCGGGAAGCACACGGCCTCTCACAGCCGAGTACAGAAGGCTGAACTTGAAGCTGAAAGAAAGAGGCAACTGCATAAGTGCCAGCGGTGACTCTGACACATGCCCAAACCTGCTACCCTTTGACCACGGCAGCAGCACTGATATCTTAAATCTATCTCTCCAGGAAGAGATACTAACATGACATAAACATGGGGGCAAATTCACCAAGCTCTCTGAAACCAGGCTTCAGTTGCTGGCCACCATACTGTAAAACTGGTATCCTAAAACAAGACCAGGTGGCAGTCCTAATAGTCCTGTATTGTTTGGGTTTCATGGGCCAGGTTTTCCCTCCGTAACAAAGATCAGGCTATGCAGCCCCTGGGCTGGAGGGTCTCAGGAGTCTGTGGCTGATTCGTGAAAATGAAATCTTTTCAGCAGCAGGGCTGAAATCTGACACAATTAGCTTCTGAAACATGGTAGTTTTTGGTCGTATAAGGGGTTTATTGAGAAGTATAGGAGAAGGAAACTGATCTGAAGTTGACTTGGCAGACAGACAAAGAAGGCAGAGAGGTGGGAATAAAGGTTGAAGGAAAAGGGAAGAGGGAACAAGGGAAGGTGGGAGGGTCAGTGAAGATTTATCAAGCACCATTTTGTGCCTCTCTGTGTTCTAAGCTACAGCAGGTGCAGAAACAAGGATGGAAGTTCAAATTGGGGCGCTCACTTTCCCAAGGTCACGATCCCTGGGGACAGGATGAGATTGCAGATCTGAGATCTCAGACAAAGCACTGCTTCTCCACAGAGACAGGAAGTGGGAGAAGCCAGTAGAAGAGATACAAAAATTTTTCTTAATAGTCATTATCACTTTAAATACATCCAACTTTTGCTTTAGACAGGAAACGAGTCATTTTACTTTTTTGTTTCTCTTTATGAGAAGAGTTGGAAGATCCGGAGATCCCTTTTTGGCTTTTTATCTTAAGAAAAGATAAAATATTTCAAATGTAATGAATGT